GTCGGCGCTGCAGCAAGTTGGCAACTAGTCAGTACGAGCGAAAGCGACTGCTGCGGAGAAACCATCATCCGCTACTTTTGCGAGGCGGCGCGGCTTTGGGGGATCGCTTCGAGTTGGGTTTGGGGTGTTTTAGGGGCGGCTTCTGATGCGAGGGGCATGGGGTTGGCTGAGGGGATCTAATAGCGCGAACCAACGCGTGTATTCAGGTGTCATCCTTAGAGGGAGTGACTCCTGAGCTTTCGTAGAGGCGCTGGTGGGAAGCTGTCGGCGTCCTGCGGAACGAAGAGCGGGGAGCGCAGATTTAGGAGGAGCGAACCTGCACGGAGTCTCGGGGACCTCCCGTTGGTGGTTTGTACCGCTCTGTCGGTCCAGAACGCTTTTCGGGGCATTGGCTGCATTGGCAACGTAAACTCCTCTCCGCTGTAAAAGACCTTACATCATAAAACGAACAGTGGGGAAACACCAAAAGAACGGAAAGATAAAACATAAATTGAGGGACTGGTTCTGTGAAACTTTATGCAGATATGTTAGTTAAAAAGGATCAAACCCGTTTCCCGAGAATAGAACTGTACGAGTGAAAGATCCAATTTATACATGAACTCTCCTTGTGCGTCTTTGTTTGGGGATGACTTCCAGAAAGTTAGAGTGTCTGAACTGGTTGATTCCATCCTGGGAACCCGTTTGCCTGCGGTTACTCTCTGAACTGGGAGAGCGGGATGTATCTAGGCTGTTACACACTCTGTGAACTGCTGCCTGTTCTCTGTGTAGTGGAATGGATTGGGATACCTGACGACCATCCCTGTAGTGGATAGGTGATGAATATTTGAAGAAGTGAAAATTATAGAAAAGCTCTGCCAGTTACAGCTCCTATTTCATATAAAGAGTATGGGTTAACTATTTCAGATCAGACCAATCAGATTAGTTAAAAGATGTGTGACTAGGGGAACTGATCTGTAGTGGCGCCTGAGCATGGGAGGATGGTACGTAATTTAATTTGGATTAAATAACCACCAGTCTGGGATTGTGTGGTTCCCCCATTGTGTCGGTCAAGTATGGTATTTAAATTGTAAGCTGTTGCCTGTTAATAATAAATATATAAATAAATAAATAATCTCATACTTTTTTTCCCCTCAGTACCTGTTGTGGGAGGATCATTACTGTAGTCAATGTTAAAATGTTGTAATATACAACCTTGTTAAAAGATTAATATATATTTATTAAAGAATAAACACTTTCACTAAATGCCATCCTAAGTTGGCAGGAATACCCTTTCACTACCCTGTAGGTCTCTTTTGTGTGTGTGTGTGTGTATGTTTTCCAGTCAGTGTTTGACTCCAGATGACTGCCTGGACAAGTCCCTGCAGTTTTCTCAGCAACGTTTTTGGAAGTGGTTGTCACTCCCTCCTTCCTAGGTCTGAGAGAGAGGGACTGGCCCAAGGTCACCCAGATGGCTTCGTGCTCAAGGTGGGACTAGAACTCACCATTTCCTGATTTCTAGTCTGGTACCTTAACCACTACACCAAACTGGCTCTCCATATAGGTCTCTATAACTTTGTATATACATATCTACAAAGGTGTGGATTTTAGTTCACCATACCTTTATTAGAGCTCAATAAATAATGAACTCAAAGGAGCTTTCAGTTTCTTGAAATTCTTCAACAGAGATGTGGTACCAAAAGCAGGGGTTAGGAGCAGAAGCATTTAAAAATTAGGCAAGAGTTGTAGCCATATGGTCTGTCTCAGTTTGTTTCAGTTTCTAAGGTTCAAAAAGGCTTTGTTTTTCCTGCAATTTCTTATGCAACTACTGTATGTATATAGACACTCATCATGCTAGTCCTTTTTAGAGTATGCAATGTTATACAAAGCACAGAAAACAGGCAAGAAGTAAAAAGGAAAGGAAAGTAGGAGATAAAAGAAAAGGAAATGTAACTGAATCGATGTTACACAACACCATTCGCTAAACCTTTCCATCCCATTGTATCCCTGCAAGTCATCCTTGCTTCAACCATCTCTCTGGCATGTCTATAGATCTTCTGTGACATTTTAAAAACAAAGAAAAAGCCAATTTTAAACACTAAGAAAAGTGTCCAAATTAATATGGCATAAATGTTTTTGAGATATGGTCTGTTCCTTCAGATATGTGGAATCCCTTTGATAAGTGGACTGTAGTCAACAACACTTTTATATAATAAAAGATGCGGCAAGATGTAGTCTGTTGCAGGAAAAACAAACATATTCCCCAAACCGGCCCTCCTCAACTAGATGTAGAGTGGTAAAAAAGGAAAACTATTGGCTATACTGAGTAAAGATGCTCAGATGAGGTTGCCTGAAGTTAATCCATTTAATGAACAAATTTGGAACACACAAAGTGTTCTTTCAGAAATGTCAAGCATTTGCAAATATCTTGCAGATTTAAAAGACTGTCTAATGGTTTGTTAGATGTATGACCTCAACCCTGCCCCTTCTCCCCCCACCCCTGCCTATGAATGATGAGTAGTTCCTTTAATTCATTTTACTTACTGGACTTGATGAATCCAGTTTTTTCCTGCTTTATTTCTACATTAGTCATGTTTTACTTAACTGTCTTTAAGCAAAAAGGACAGTGAACAGTGTAAGAACAAATGGAAGGTCTTCATTTGAACCCTCTAAGCAGCAAGCCATAAGTGGAAAGGCCCTTTGTTTGTTTGTTTTAATATGATTTGAATGTGGTTAGGAATAATATTTTTTAAAAAATGTATAATTGTGCATGCTGTTTAAAAATCTATTGTTTGGCAAAATCTTTTTTAAAGCTAACTAAAATGCCATAATAAGTAAACAAGTATTCAGACTTCACAGAACTCTTCATCAGGTTGGATAGAGCTGAGGTAAGAAAAGCAAAATTGGTTGAGTAAATGCAGATTCACAAATCATACAGGTTGTTTGATTTTGTTTCTGTGTCTGTGTTAATTCAGTCATGGTACCTGACTTAGGTGGTCCTGAGAAGCCACTCACTAAATCTTGCTTAGAAGTTTTAATGACATTATCTAAGGCATAAGGCAGTGTTTCTCAACTTTGGCCACTTGAAGATGTGTGGACTTCAACTCCCAGAATTCCCCA